GCAGGGGCCGACACGGGAGGAGACACTGCAGGGGCCGACACGAGAGGAGACACTGCAGGGGCCGACACAGGAGACTGGTTAAATTAAAGTTAATAACTGGTTAATTAAAGTTGGTAAGTGGTAATAAATAAAGTTGCATTTAAGTTACAGATAATATTTAAAAAATCTAGTTTGATGGGTTCATTTAGATTGAATAATGGCCGTTAAATTACATCTATAAACACAGATACTGTTGGTATGTACTTTTCTATAGTATAATTAAACTGTGTTTTATTTAACCTCCATTTCATATTGAATTATTTAAGCCAGGTCTGAAGAATCTAAATATTGTAGATTTTGAACTAAAGCTGATTAAAGACGGTCTGGACACTTAAAAGTTGGTGAAACAATCCTTTATCAAAGCTGGATTTGGAGTGAAATTCTGTGCTGTGTTGAAAATGAGGAGGGTTGGATAAAAGGCTGTCTTTGGCAATAGATGGGAAGCTGTATAATAGGATAYCAAGTTTCTTTACAAACTGAAGAATAAGAGTGAAGTTTGGGGATGACCAAGAGATTTCATGGTGGAAAATGGTGCACCACAAGGAAGAATAATCATCCCAGTCAAATTTAACTTTATGATAAATTAGATTTTTTTTTTTTTTCAAATCTTGACTGACCTACCTGTAAATGAGTTTGAGGGTTCTGTAAATGACACACTGTATGAAAGGAACTGTGACAAATGTGAGGTTTGTGGAGGAAAAGAAAATTTGGATCATGTATTGATGACGTGCAGCTGAAAGAGAGATGCTGAGGGTAAAAGTAAGACAGACAAGGAGAGGACACAAGAGGGAATCTTTACATTAAAAAAAAAAGATAAGGTAGAGATTTTGGAATAACACACTCATGTACAGTAGATGGCAGTATAAACAGCTAATCAGTTTGCAATCAGCCATTGAAGAAGAAGAGGCAGAACAGAAGTTGACTTTTGGACTGAATTTAGTCAGAGCAACACAGATAGCTGATGCATTCAGGTGAGTTTTTCCACTTCAGTTAAAAATAAACTTATATCAGCTGCAATATGTTCTCTTATCATTGCAACAGATATGTATCTACAGCTTTATTTTCACTTTATTAAGCATGTAGATGCATGTTTTACTTTTGAATCCAGATTGGTGTCTGAAAATAAGTAAGAGACTTTGATTTGTATTTTCTCAGTCAAAGACTGATTAAACTGCTGCATCCATAACACTGGAACAGCTTTACAGACATCTTTTTATCCTCTGTCAAAAKGTTTTAGTTTTCTAAGCTGGTTGCACAATAACTTGGTTGAAAAATACTTTTCCTTCCTCTCTTGTCTTTCCTGTGTTTTATCTTTTGTAACTGGATTAGTAATTAAATGTAGGTTTAAAAAATATTAAAGTGAAGGCCACTCAAACAAGTTAATATCAGCTGTATCTGACTGTSCATTGTGTAGTATACAGTATGCATAAATGTTTTATTTTTATTGCTCAAGTTATGTAGAAATGAGATGTTTTGTTAAAGCTGGTGTGGATTCAGTCATCCAGCAGGACATGGTAAGTTAAAACGTAACTAAACAACCAGACTTGTATTCTGCAGTTAAAGATGTTTTGCTTCCWAAATGGGTCACATTCTCAATTTAAAACTTAAGAGTGGAGTTCCAAGTATTTTGAATTCAAATAAATCACACGCCTCACACAATAGAGAGGTGGTTCCCAAAGTTGGGGTCAGGACTCCTCTATGGGTCATGAAACATCAAGTGATGATTTCRAGACATTTATTGAAATGCAAATAAATTGTTAATGGAATAATTTCACCATAATAAAAAAAAACAATAACAATAATAAATGAATAACAGTAATATCATAATTATTAGTTTATATTTATTTGCTATTTATAAGCAATGTTTGAGTATATAAACCAGTAAAATCTGGGGTCACAAGTTTCTGCAGCTGTTATTTTTAAGGCCAGAAGCTAAAAAGTTTGAAAACCACTGCAATAGAGAGTTAAAAGGGTCTTTCTTCACCTGGCTCACAAGAGAGAAGATTTGGTCACCTTCATGAAGGCATGAAATATAGTGGAAATAGAGTTTTTGTGAAAACACATCTGTTGTGATGATGATGATGATGAGTTTGTTTTTGAAGAGGAGTCAAATTTTACATTTTTATTCTCAGAAAAACAATACAAAAAAGTCCTTGCATTTTTTAAAAAGTGTCACTCCTCACATTTAATCCCAGAGTTTTAGACTTAAATCATATCATGCTGAAAATGACGGAAATATTTTTTCTTTAAAAAAAGTGCAATTTCATGTGGTAGCACAAGATGTCACTCTCAGACTGTGTGTTGGGAATGACTCTCAGCCACTACCATTTCAGTTTTCAACACAATATCTGTAAAATTGACTGAGGTTTAGTCATTTCGTCTTTGTATTTTCTAAAGATCAATTAAATGTGGTGGTCATTTGAAATCAGGCTGACAAAAGCTGATATGTTTTAGCTGTACATCCAGTTATGTTTTGCAGGTTTCCTTAAAATCCATTCCCTTTTTCACAAGATATTTTGCTAACAGACAAACACATACAGACACAGTGATGAATGGTGAATTTTACAGCTGAAACAATCTGTATTGTCTTTGTTTCAGGTGTTGTTTCTTTATGAATGCAACCTGCAGGGGTCGCCACAGAAATAATTGTTCATGGTGGTATATATAACAGGGTTCTTATTGAAGTTATTTGTTTTAACATCTTTCAAGATGCAACCTGGCCTCAAACTTGCAGCTTTAGGATTAGTTTTTGTTTTGAAAATGAATAAAAAATGAAACGCAACAGTCATGGTTTATCATATAATTAATGTATTACTTGTTAAAATGCATTTTATACACCACTTTCCAAAAGCTGCACTGACATCCTTCAAAATGTCTTCAGTAATGTTATAATTCAAGCTCCTTTTCTTCAGATGGAGCTGCCAACTCGACCAACACTTTTTGATTTCCATGGCGTCTCCATGGTCAAATATTTCACTGACAACTGGGAAAACATCCAGAACTTTGAGGCCAGACCAGATGATATCCTTATAAACAGTTACCCTAAAGCAGGTGAGTCCAAAAGTAATTTTTTTAACGAAACAGTTTTCTGAACAAGTTAACATAAGTTTGTGTTTCTTGTTCTAATGTCAGGAACCACATGGGTTTGCTACATGCTGGATCTCCTGTACTTCAGCAACATGTGTCCAGAACGTCAGACTTTTGTTCCTCTGCATGAGAGAGTGCCCTTCTTGGAGATCAGTTCACCGCCTCGACCCAAAGGTTTAATCACCGGGTCGAACAGACACTTAAACGTATTTAAACTACAAGAACAGCTCAACAAATTAGAATATAATTGAAAAGTTTACTTCAATAACTTAATTCAAAAAATGAAACTCCTATATAGAATAATTACCGTACTGTTATTCCTGTCTGCTTTGATTATTATGGCTCACAGCTAATGAAAACCCAATACACAGTGTAAAAGAAAATTGGAACACTGTGAAAAAAGGTTAGTACTTTGTCACTCTAATCAGTTTTTTAACACAAAACACCTGCAACATTTGTCTACAAGACCTCTGAGCCTTGGGTTTGTGGCTGAATCTCCATAATTAGTTTCACTTTTCAATGATTTTTTTTGTTAGACTTCCAATTTGTTCAAATGTACAGGGGTTAGTCAATGAAACGGAAACACCTGTCATTTTAGTGTGGGAGGTTTCATGGCTAAATTGGACCAGCCTGATTCATTAATTGCACATTGCACCAGTAAGAGCAGAGTGTGAAGGTTCAATTAGCAGGGTAAGAGCACAGTTTTGCTCAAATCATTGCAATGCAACATTATGGGTGACATACCAGAGTTCAAAAGAGGACAAATTGTTGGTGCACGTCTTGCTGGTGCATCTGTGACCAAGACAGCAAGTCTTTATGTATCAAGAGCCACTGTATCCAGGGTAATGTCAACATACCACCAAGAAGGATGAACCACATCCAACAGGATTAACTGTGGACACAAGAGGAAGCTGTCTGAAAGGGATGTTATGGTCTAAAACCAGGTGTTTCAGTTTCATTGTCTAATAACTCCTGTACTTGTACAGCATACATTTTATTTTAGAGCACTTTACTCCTATTAATTCCATTAATATAACTGCTGGTGGAAAAATTTAAACAGCTTTTTATTTGAAAGGAATAATCAAGCAACTTATTGTAGATGCAGTTTGAAAAAAATCTGTTTTACTTACAGCAGCTACCAAAACACAACCTTCCTCTATGACAGGACTATTCAATTGGGGGACCACCCCCCCCCACCAAAAAAAAAGAAAAAAAGAAAAAAAACTTAATGTAATATAATTATAGGTTCCAAATCATTTGTAAACTTTACATTTATGTTTCAATGCAACAAAATAAATTTTAAAAAAGATAACTGTTCGGTTACATGCAGGATTGTTTCATCTACCATTGCTGCCCCCACCCCCTCCCTCCCTCCAATGTCTTGCCCCCAAGCTGTGGGCTTCAAGTAACCCCACCCCCAGGAGTGATTTAGTTGAATAGCCCTGCTCTATGTCATTTTCTTTATATTTCTCAGAAAAAGTTATTTTAAGAGTTAAAGTGGAATATTGAATGTTTTACATCTAGTTTTTATTGAGCAAGTAATAAACATCGAGCTTTGTTGCAACAGAGTGAGGTTAGTGAAAGAGCACAGCTCCTTGAGATTACAGACTGAGTTAATTTTAAGAGCTTTAATCCCAAAGAACGCTTGCTGTGTCCTTATACCAGTATTTAAATAACTTTTTTTTGTTTGATAATTAAAATCATTGTACTCCAAACTAAAGTTGTCCTCTTTTTACCAAAGGTACAGACCTGATAGATCAACTCTCCACTTCTCCTCGTCTCATTAAATCTCATCTACCAGTCCAGTTTGTACCAAAGTCCTTCTGGGAGCAACGCTGTAGAGTAAAAACACACTTCTATGCACAAGACTAACCAATAATAAAAGCTACAACCTAATTTGTTCATTATGTTTGCCTAGTTTGTCTATGTGGCTCGTAATCCAAAAGACAGCGTTGTGTCTTACTACCACTTTGGCCGCATGAATGGTATTCATCCTGAAGTGGGAGACTGGAGCACCTTCCTGCAGGACTTTATGGAGGGAAAGAGTGAGTTGTTTCAAAATAAAAGAGCCACATCATTATTGCCCGCTGCCGGAGGCCAACGGCGACATTTGTGTGTCTTTGTGTCTCAAGAGCCGCCTCCATCAATTTAGCAAATACTGAGGTAAATATTGAGTCATCAACACATATTCCAAGAGCTAACACATCTCCTGAGATTTTGTAATACTGAGATTGAGATTACACATTATGCCAATTACATGATTTGAAAATGTCCAAAACTCTGTCCTGGAGGGCAACGGGTGATATGCGTTCCTTGAAGGAATGTCAGACTTTTTTTCTTTTTTTGGTGTATGTACTTGTTTTTGTTACCTTTTTATGACCTTTTCTGGTATACACACTTACCTCGTCAAGACCAGTAGTTTATGGAGACGAAAGACCGGTCCTAATATGGTGGAACTCTTATTTTTTGGGTTGGGGGTTAGGTTTAGGGTAAGGGGGTCAGGGCTATAGAAATGAATGGAAGTCAATGAACAGTCCCAAAAAGATCAAAATACAAATGTGTGTGTTGTTCTATGTGTTGTTCTGTCATTTCAGTGGTGTTTGGATCATGGTACGAACATGTAAACAGCTGGTGGGAGAAGAAACAGACTTATTCAAATCTTCACTACATGTTTTATGAAGATTTGTCTGAGGTGCAGTGAGCTGAACTTTTTTTTCTCTCTTCTCAAAGACTTGTTAACCTTTGACTTGTTAACCTTTTAAAGCACGTTAAAGTTTCACCTCACGGGGAGTTTTCTCACATAGAAGAAACCACTAAGCTTTTATTTATTTATTTATTTTTACGTGGGCAGAACTTTGGACGAGAAACAGACAGACTTTGCTCCTTCCTCGGCTTATCTCCATCAGCTGAAGAAAAGGAAAAAGTCAGAGCTGCAGTCATGTTTGACAACATGAAACAGGACAAAATGGCAAACTCCTCCACTATCCAAATAATGAACCATGAGGTGTCTCCTTTTATGAGAAAAGGTCTGTAAAAAAATCACATTTTTCACATTTTGCACCCAAATCACCCAAAATAGTTTTAACCCAATGATTCTTTCCAGGAAAAGTGGCAGACTGGAAGAACCATTTCACCGTGTCCCAGAACGAACACTTTGATAAAGACTACAAGCAGAAAATGAAGAATCCTGAGCTGCGCTTTCGTACAGAAATTTAGTTTGAATTGCAAATAATGGAGTCCAGAACCGACATTGAAATTGTCAGTTAGAAAGTTGATAGAAAGTATTGATTCATAGCTCAATATTTTTCATTTTATTCTTAATCGGACCAAAAGGATTGCTCAGTGTATAAATATTGTATATTTCACATCAACTTATGAACACAGTGGTGGAGGGTTAATGATGTGGACTTGTTTTTAGTCAGAGGTGTTGACTTGTAAAACTGGTTACTAAAGTTTTTATTTTACAAATTTTAAATCACTAAAAGTTGATTTTTATTTTTGGTAAAAGAAAACAAAATAAGTAAAAGAATGGAGTGACTTTCATCGGTCTTTGATCTTCTTTTTCTCAAATGTGTGAAAACTCTCTGGCAATGTTCTTTTTACAGCTTATTTGGGGCAAACAAGCCAAAATTAAAAGACAACTCCTTGGAAACTATAATAAAATAAAAACACCTGCAGCAAGCGACTTGGGGTTGAGAGGACTTCCTGATGTAAAGAGAAGTCCTGTTCCTGTAATGTGAGGCTGCTTGACTCGGTAATATTATTTACATTTCTTCCCCTCTGAATGTTAGTTCAGTAACTATTTAGCTGTGACTGAGTTGTCAAATAAACAAATGGGTTCAGTTTGTTTACTATGTCCTGACTAAAGAATGGAAAGATGTAGCTGATAGATGGGTGGATATTTTCTTGAAAAGAAAAAAAATTGTATAGGTCTTCTGGACAGGTTCTTCTCTAATGAAACGTTTCGTCTCTCCTCCAAGAGACTTCTTCAGTCTGAGAGTTTCAGGCAAAANTATATAAACCAGTAAAATCTGGGGTCACAAGTTTCTGCAGCTGTTATTTTTAAGGCCAGAAGCTAAAAAGTTTGAAACCACTGCAATAGAGAGTTAAAAGGGTCTTTGTTCACCTGGCTTACAAGAGAGAAGATTTGGTCACCTTCATGAAGGCATGAAATATAGTGGAAATAGAGTTTTTGTGAAAACACAGCTGTTTTGATGATGATGATGATGATGACTTTGTTTTTGAAAAGGAGTGAAATTATACATTTAGAGAAGGCTGAAAAATAATTTCAAAAAGTCCTTGTACTTTTTTTTAAAGTGAAAGTAAAGACAGCAACTTAGGGAACAACAACTGCAAAAAGTCGATTTTGTGAGTGCCATTATTTTTGAAATGCTACATCAGAAGTTGCTCAAAATTGTTGAGGAACATCTAGAGGACTTTTAGAGTGAGCCTGAAGTGAGGCCAGTCTCTGACAACTAGCCATTTAGCTGCAATAAAAATAGCAACTTAGGGGCACGTGAAGTAACAAAGTCAATATTTTGAATGCCATTATTTTGGAATGGTTGGGTAGAAAGGTGCTATACAAGTACAGACCATTTACCATTTACTTTAGTTTTCTCTCACAGACCAAAATCTTATTTATTAAAACTAATATGTCATGAAAAAGCAAATAAAGAAATAGAAGTAGTATATAATTGCATATTGTATATAGTCTTTATTTCCAGTTTTGGGTATTTATAATTAAAGTTTTTGTTCACAATGTAAACAGCAACAAGCACATAAAACTGTTTTAACATACATAGAAGAGGTGATGGCTTTTAAATTGAGAAAGTTTGTTCCTTTTAAATGTTTTTAAAATGTATATTTTGACGTTTTTAAATAAAATGACAGACATCACAGCAATCATTTGTGAAGGGAAGTGTCCCCATCACGTTTAAATTTTAATTCATCTGAACCCCCATATTTACCATAGAATATTACTTCAACCAGTGTTTCTATTGCTGAACAAATAATTTCATTCCACTTGATTTATAGAATACTGGCACTAAGTGTTTACTTCTGTAGGTAGAAGTCTATTGAACAACCTGTTAAAATACACAATGCAGGAAATGGCAGCTATTTAATTCAAAAATTTCTGGGGGAAGACCCCCAGAACCCCCACCAATGGGTCCCTCTAGCATTATGAACACTTCTAATGGCACTGAAATGTGTAACAATGTAAGGACCATTTCAGGTACTCCATGTGTAAAAGATACACACAGAAGAACTGGATTGTTGCTGAAGTGCAGATAGTTTCTGTTTTTTCTTTCTGGTCTCTGGACGTCACAGAATCAGTAATATTGTCTGTAAAATAACAAACAGGACATCTTTTGGTAAATCCTTAACTCTTATATTGCCATAGTTTTCAAACTGTCATTTTTACAACAGCATCATAAATTTTCTGTCATGGAAATTAGTTTTGATGTGCCACCCCTGGTTTTTCAGTGTCCCCCCCATGGCTCCCCTTTAAAAAAATCTGCAGGCGCCACTGCTGAAAAGAAAAGAGAAATAGACAAACTCTGCAGTTTTCTGGGTTTGTCTCCTTCGGCTGAGCTTAAATAGAAAGTTTTAAGTGGAGTGCGGTTTGATAACATGAAGAAGAACCAGATGGCCAACTACTCCACTCTCCCAGTCATGGATTTCAAGGTTTCTCCCTTCATGAGGAAAGGTTTGTTCAAGGCTGATATGATGCCAGGGAAGAAATGGATTCTCAAAGAGCAGAAATTATTAACTTTTCTGTGTTTCTCCAGGGAAAGTCAATGATTGGAAGAATCACTTCACTGTGGCCCAAAATGAAGCATTCGATGAAGACTACAAGACAAAGATAGACCCCACTCTGCTGTTCCGCTATGAAATTTAAACTGTTTACGTTTGAAACTGAGTCCATGATTGAACTCGTCGTAACCCTGACAGAAATTTAAATATTGTAATTGCAGTGGCTGCTAAATTCATGGCAGAATTTTTTTTGTCAAATGTGAAAATAGACATGCTGTGAGGCTGCACAGCATCAGCCAAAGGCCTCGCCCAGATCCATCTGCTAAACCTGTTCAGCTACATCAATGATTCAGACAAAGCAATGTTGTTTTTATGTCAAGAGCTAAATGAGATGAAATAAGGTCAACAAATCAGCTCTGTATGATGGATTAAAAGCTCTGTGTTAAACAGGAGGTGGTTTTTGATTTTACATACACATCAGCTGTTAATGATGTAAAAAATGACATTGCACTAATAGTTTATCCCTAATTAAAGGCCACACCTCCTCCCATTGGCAAATAATTAAAATAAGAGTCTTCTCCCCTCATCATCACTTCTAGTCATTGGCTCAGGTAGAAGTCAGGTCATTGGCTGGTTGACTCAAAAGGCACCAGAATTTGTTCATGTTTTACCCAATAAATATTAAGACTTGTCATGTTTGAGTGTTTGTCACAACTTGGGAATGTGTGTACCTAAAATCTATTTTTGTATTCAGTATCCAGTGACGTAATTACAAAAAAGAAATAGCACTGTACTCGCAATGAGGTGTATTTGTATATTTTATTGTTTTGTATTTGCAATAAAATATAGATTTTTTAACTGTTTAAAATGTTGCTTCTTGAAAAAAGAAATGTGCGTGACTACAAAACAAACAAAACTGACGTGCTTTTACTGCATAGTTTCTTGCTCCACCACACCTGATTCAAATGGTTTAATTACTTCCTCATCATGTCATCGGGTTGTGCGGGAGCCATTCATTAGAGTTAGTTGAGTCGGGGACAACTATTTGAAACATGCAGGGGAGAAGTCCCTGCCTGACGATGACGTCATTACTTGAAGCTGCTGCTGCATAAAGTCATTCTGCAAGCTTTGAAGTCAATGTGAGCAGGAGGTTTTGCAAAACAGATCTGTCAAACAAATGAAAAAAAATTAAATCAAATAAATCACAAAAAACATGTTGCGAAACATTGAAGAGATGGGTTTGTGTAGATGTGTGCATGTGTGGATATTGTTCAGTAAAGTCCTACAAGTGAAAAAAAAGAGTGAGATTACTTTAACTTCTGCATCCTGCAGGTATTTAAAAAAAAATATGGAGGTCAAAGTTCAAGAAGAAATGAGGTGTGGCTGGATACAAACTGGACTTTCCATGTTTTGGAGTTCGGTGCGGAGAGAGGAGAGGGTTTGAGGAACCAGGCAGGATTTAACACCAACATGTCCCAGGATCCTGAGAAGGTATGATTTTCTATTTATTTATTAATTTATTTAATTTTGGAATGATAGTACAGTGCATTACTGAGCAGTCAATACTGATTAATTTGGGACATTGTTTTAAATGTACAAAAAAGCTCCATGCTACTTTCAACAACAGCTTCAGCAAATTTGAGGACCTCACCTCCTCATGCAGCTTTCTTTTATTATTTGTGCCGTCTGAAACATCCTGTTTTTCTTAAGCACACTTGGGTTAATTGTACTTTTTGCACTCTAAAGGTCAATATGCCTCGTCCTGAACTATTTGATTTCCATGGCGTCTCGATGACTCGTTTATTCACGGACAACTGGGAAGAAGTCCAAAACTTTGAGGCCAGACCAGATGATATACTCATTGCAACATACCCCAAAGGAGGTCCACGTCTTTCTGCATGTTTCATAAAATCACAGAAATGTGTGTGTTGCTGAGGAGATGAACCTTTGCTTCTCAAACTCTTTAGGTACCACGTGGGTCTCCTACATCTTGGACCTGTTGTATTTTGGTCAGACGTGTCCAGAGCGTCAGACGACCATCCCGATCTTTGAGAGAGTTCCATTTTTGGAGATCTTCGTCCCAAACCTCATTTCAGGTTAATGATCAAACTTTGTATTCAGGCTTCATAAAATCTCTTTAGTTTACAGTGCATATAAATTTGATCACAGTTTTCTGTGCTGTGTCATTAAAAAAATACGATAAATTACATGACTAGCCTACTGATAACTGAAGCAACAAGTGTTTCTTCTATTTTGAAGTTAGATGGAGTTTTCAGTTGTGTCGTTTCATACAGGAAAAGACCAGGCAGAAAATCTTCCCACCACCCCTCGACTCATCAAAACCCACTTTCCTGTCCAGTTTGTGCCAAAGTCCTTTTGGGAGCAGAACTGCAAGGTAATGAAGCATTTATGCTGTTTTGAGTTTTCCTTTAATTTATGACTCCCAAGGAGTGGAAATATTGGATGTTAAAACAGTCAAACAGCTGTAGAAGCATGTATGATGATTTTCTCTTTAAAGCTTATAATTATGATCGATTTTCAAGTGATATTTCAAATAAGTGACACTAACTGTTAGCTCATCAAAATGCTCCAACAGGCTGTCTCTGGTCCTCTTCTGCAGGTGGTCTATGTGGCCCGCAATGCCAAGGACAACATGGTGTCTTATTTCTACTTTTCCTGCATGTCCCAGCTGCAACCTGAACCTGGAGATTGGAGCAGCTTCTTCCAGAAATTCTTGGAGGGAAATTGTATGTAACAGAGGCTGCAAGATCGTTTAGTCATTGTCACTTCATACATGACACTGACATGATAACCAAGAATAATCAGGACTGACACGTCACAAATTTTAGCTTTAAAGAACATCACTACCTTCAGGACCTGAAGTCATTTTAAAGGGGGATGTTTTACTAAATCTACCTTTTTGAGTTTTTATCACGTTATAATGTCATCCCCTCATCAAAACCATACCCAGTGTTGCTTTGACTCATTCATGCATGAATGAGAAATCCTTGAATCTCCTGTAGAGCCATATGGAACTGCCTAAACAGTTGCTGGTACAAAGCTCCTCCCTGGAGCTCAGTCTGCAGCTGAGCTCCCGCCCCACAGAGCACCCCTCCCCTGCAGCATTGTTGTGAAGACGTGCTGAAGTGGGAGTATCAGAAATGGTAGGAGATTCTTGAAGAGACAGAGGCAAATTTCAAGATGTTTAGATAAACAAGATAATTCAGTTCTAACAACTGGTGAGAACCAGGCAAAAATTGAAATAGGATTTCTTCTTGAAATTAAATCTCTGACCTCCTTCTCACAGCAAAGTGTTCCTCCATATTTTATTTTGACTCAGTGCCGTATGGTTCCTGGTACGACCATGTGAGCGGTTGGTGGAAAAAGAAACTGACGTATCCAAACCTCCATTATATGTTCTATGAAGATTTATGTGAGGTTGGCTTTTTTATTTTTTGTTTGTTTGTTTGTTTGTTTGTTTGTTTTTTCACCTATACAGTTTTTCTGGTTGGTCAATAATGCAGAGAGGATTGTTTTGATGTGTTTTCAGGACACTGGGCGAGAAATAGACAAACTCAGCTCCTTTCTGGGCTTGTCTCCTTCGGCTGACCTTAAAGAACAAGTTGCCAGTGGAGTGCAGTTTCACAACATGAAGAAGAATCCGATGACTAATTATTCCACATTCCCAGCCATGGATTTCAAGATTTCTTCCTTCATGAGAAAAGGTTTGTTCTTGCTTGTTCAGGTTTAGGGGATTATGACAAAGTGAATATTGGATGCAACCTATTGGCTCATATTTAATCTAATTGGTATTTTTTTCTAAATATCTTCTGCATTTTACTGAATTGGACTCATAATGTTGATGTGTTACTACCTTTGAAAAGTGTCCTGTGTTGACTTTTGTTGTGCATTTTTGTTATTGCTCATATGAGGAAACAACTATTAATGCAGAGCGAGGATACTAGACTGGTTTTCTGTGTTTTTGCAGGGAAAGTTGGTGACTGGAAAAAGCACTTCACTGTGACCCAGAATGAAGCTTTTGATGAAGACTACAAGAAAAAGATGAKGGATCCCACTCTGCAGTTTCGCAACGAGATTTAAAGAGTCTTTATTTGAASTTGGGTCTAGCATCGACTCTTGTCTTGTTCACTGTGAAGATATAAAGCATTTCTACGTGAAATTTTCATGTCAAAAACCTAACATTTCTGATTTTTTTTAAAATCACGCTATAAAACTGTGTGATTTAAAATGAGTAAATTCTGATGTAAAGAAAAAAGCAACCATGTTCTGAATGTATGCTGTTTTTAAAAATTATAATTCAGATTCAAAAGTTTCTTTTAAAAAAAGAATAACACAGGACCACAGGTCTCAGCAAATCAACATTAAAAATAAACATAAAATTGATACAAAAAAAAGACAATTTGTTTGGTTGTGTAGTGGACATGCCCATTTCCCCTCACCTCATCTTGCCACTGATTGACCTTTGGCCACCGGAGGTCAAATCCTTCCTTCCACAGACTGAACTCTTTCAGATCTAATGCAGAGCTATAAAAAAAAGCCTTTTCACTTTCTCTTTTCCCTTGAGAAAAGATTTCATTCTCAAGGATCTGTTATTTTGCTGATAAAACAAGTCAAAATAAACATTCTGTCTCAATTTGCTGTTCTTTTAAATGTGTAAATGAATGCATAATCCCTTTTAAAATGTATGACTTTTTCTTTACCTTTTCAAGGGCTCTTAAGTAATAGTAATTTTATAACTTTGCATTTGTTGTGATGTTTAGAAATGTTTAGAAATGATGATTTAGCGTTAACAGAATATAGTTTATTCAATGCTTATATTTTTAGCTTTTTACATCTTCTGCTTTTAATAAACATTACTTAATCATTTTATTAGTTTAACWATGTTTATTAGTTTACTAATAGTAATTCATATTTAATCATTAATTATTTGAGATATTAGTCTAATAAACATTGAGTTGAGCTAGCCTGCTCAATGTTGGTCTGTTAAATGTTGGTGTGTTGTTTTTGATGTCCGACCTTGGGTCCCAGACTTACACACACGCACACAGTTCTCATGGGAGCTCTGACCACCTGCAGATCACATTACACATACACAGTTCTTCCTGTTTCTTAAAAACTGTTTGTCCTGTTAGTCGGTCTTTTGCTCATCTATCCTTCCACATCAGAACCCTGGGGTGCTGGTCGCCTCAGGCTTCTTTTCCTATACTGGAAATCAGTCACTTTTCCAGTTCACCTTGCAGTATAATTTTCTTATTTTTACAAGGACCTTTATCTCTTTTTGTTGAAATACCATTTTTGTGTCAGGCTGTTCTCCTGGAACCAGCATCCTTCGGCTGTGAGCTGCTCCTCAAAGCTTCCTGGTCGACTTGCTGCTTTGCCGAAAGACCAAGTCCATGAGAAGTAATCTGTTCCACTTGTCTGACCCAGAGACCCCTCGGTTCACGCTTAGCAACAAGCGTTTGCCCTGAGCTACGTCTGGTCTTATGTGGAGGCTTCCGGACAATGGTAAAGGCTGAAAGCTGGTTCATTCTGTCAAGGTCTGGTGGTGAATGAACCCAAGAGCTGGCAGACACAAAGGTTAAAAAAAGGATTTATTAAATAAAGCAAAAAGCTGGCAATGCAGCAAAAACATACAAGGTAGACTCGGGGAAACACAGGGAGGACCGAGACTGATGGGGTAATCCATACAATGAACCAGCAAAGTAATGTGGAGCTAAGACCAGTATATTTATACAAACAGGGATGAGTGGCAGTTGGAAACAGCTGGGTGATTAAAGAGCGACAACAGGTGTGAGAGAACTGACCGGAAGAGACTGAATAATCTGAGGAATAAGATGACATGGCATGAAAGGAACACTAGAGGGAGGCACAAGACAACAGAAAGCACACACACACACACGACACAGATCCTAACAGTACCCCCTCTCCAAAGATCGTCTCCCGACGATCACCAAAACATGGGAGGGTGGAGGGGGCACAAACAACAATACAGGATGGAGGGCCAGAAACAACAAGACAACATGGACCACTAGACACGAATAACAGACAGGGAACAAAATAACAAAAAAAAGGCAAACCAAAAATGGACAGGAAACCCTGGGAGAAAAAAAACTAACCAAAAACAGTCACTTAGATGACCCTAGGCACATCTAAATGGTTCAGACAGTTCAGGTGGGCGCCCAGGGACCCAACACAGACGAAGAAGGGGCTCTGGAGGGTGGCCGTGGATTCGGCCACGTCGGAGGCAAAACTCAGGTGGGCGGCTTTGAGCCCAACCGTGGTGAGGAAGGAGCTCTGGTGGGCAGCCCGAAGCCCGGCCGTGGAGGCACTCTGCAGGGTCCGACACGGGAGGAGACTCTGCAGGTGCCGACAAGGGAGGAGACTCTGCAGGGTCCGACACGGGAGGAGACTCTGCAGGGTCCGACACGGGAGGAGACTCTGCAGGGGCCGACACTGTAGGAGACTCTGCAGGGGGGCGGCTCGGGAGGAGACTCTGCAGGGGCCGACACGGGAGGAGACTCTGCAGGGGCCGACACGGGAGGAGACTCTGCAGGGGCAGACACTGTAGGAGACTCTGCAGGGGGCGGCTCGGGAAGAGACACTGCAGGGGCCGACACGAGAGGAGACTCTGCAGGGGCCGACACGGGAGGAGACTCTGCAGGGGCCGACACGGTAGGAGACTCTGCTGGGGCCGACATGGGAGGAGACACTGCAGGGGCCGACACGAGAAGAGACACTGCAGGGGCCGACACGAGAGGAGACTCTGCAGGGGCCGACACGGGAGGAGACTCTGCAGGGGCCAACACTGTAGGAGACTCTGCAGGGGCCGGCTCGGGAGGAGACTCTGCAGGGGCCGACACGGTAGGAGACTCTGCTGGGGCCAACATGGGAGGAGACACTGCAGGGGCCGACACGGGAGGAGACTCGGCAGGGGCCGACACGGGAGGAGACTCTGCAGGGGCCGACACGGGAGGAGACACTGCAGGGGCCGACACGGGAGGAGACTCGGCAGGGGCCGACACGGGAGGAGACACTGCAGGGGCCGACACGGGAGGAGACTCTGCAGGGGCCGACACGGGAGGAGACACTGCAGGGGCCGACATGGGAGGAGACTCGGCAGGGGCCGACACGGGAGGAGACACTGCAGGGGCCGACACAAGAGGAGAC